CCAGCTTTCTCGCCGCTCTCTTGCTGCAAGTGTGGTAACGTCCCTTGTCTTTCAGCAGATTTTCAGCAATTGACAGCTAAGGACAAGGTTTTTAATGGGTGCCTGCTGTGCCTATTAATTACTTCTTATTTCTATTGGTGTGCTTTCAAAACCATTTTTAAAATCTAGCTGTGTTGTGGTATTATAATGCACTTGGGGGGGTTGCAGACTGCCAGAAATAGTGCAAATTGAGTCCACTTTTAGAGTTAGGGTTAGTGCTAGGGAATCATGGGAATTGTTTTTTTTTCTGAGACATTGAGCCTTCTCTGTCAGAGAGCTCTAGTGCCACAATAAAATACAGTTCCCATGATTCCCTAACCCTTAAAGTGGACTCAATTTGCACTATTTCTGGCAGTCTGCAACCCCTCACGGTTTTGTTGTAATAATACCAGCGGCTCTGTTTTTGTTAGTGCTAGTTATTTAAATCATGTTGCGAGCTACTTTAGATCCCCGTTTTAAGAGAAAAGCTGGGTCTGAATCAAATCAATAAATCAAAGGGCCAAGAAGAGTGGTTTCTAATAGTGTGTTTTCCCCATATGCAATGGGGAGACAGGCAGCAGTTCTAGAAAGCTTCCCACACCCCATCAGGACTCAGTCACTGGGCAGGTTTTTGAAGGCCAGGGCTCAAAATGGCTGGTGAACTTGTGAAAAGTGAAGCAAAAGTGAAACCAGATTATTTTTAGCATCCTTGCATGGTTAAGGTTGCAAAAGGATGTGCAGAGTATGTACATTATTCTTGCCACTGAAAAGAAGTCACAAACCCACTGGAACATTTGGGATTAGATGAAGGATTTATTTGGCACAATTGTTGGGGTTAGCATCCAGGCAAGGTCTGGCACATGTGGTTATGTAGCCCTTGGAGTTTTCATGTATATCAAGGCTGTATCCACACTGCAGAAATAATCTGGTTTGACACTTCCTTAACTGCCTTGGCTCAGTACTATGGAATTCTGGGCACAGTAGTTTGTTGTGGCAGAGCAGAATCTGTCAGTGGCTCTCTTTTAGTCAAGACAGAAAGTGCATTTTTGTCTGGTTCGGCACTAATACTTTTTGATTTGCAAAGATTAGGAGTGCCTGTAATGGCACAGTGAGGCACATGCTGTTGCTTGGACCAAGAGCTGTCAGTGCAGGGATATCATAAGAATGCAATCAACTCTTCACCACAGCTATTCCTGTTGTCTCCTCACAGTAGTGGAGGAAAAACTGATTTTCCTGACTGTTATCCAGTGACATTGCAATGTATTGTACAATGACTTGGCCTTGGCCTGTTAAGATCTGTTATGTTTACAAAGTAAGACTTGCTCTTGATGCACTTGAAAACTGATAAATCTCTTATTAGTGTTAGTGTTAGTATCTGGAGATACAGTTTATTCTTGGGGCTAAAAGAAGAAACTCATAGGACCTTATCAAACGCTGGCCACGAAGCGAAAAGTAAGCG